AAAAATAAAGTCCATGTAAAAACAAAACCAAAAATCTCTATGCAGGGGATGAGAAACAAGATCTGATAGGACTACTCTCTGAGGGAATTTTATCATGTAAATATACCAGCAACACAGCTAATATTATAGTTTTCCAATTGTAATAGTGACAGTTCTATTTCAGTAAGTCACATTTTCTGGCCCATTAACTTCATGGACCTTGGCTCACAGCTTTAGGAATAAGTGGACTAATTGTTTAAGTGAGTTCACAGGATTAAAGAAAGAAGTCTGGGGCCTCCCTGGTGGCCCAGCGGTTGAGCGCTCGGTTGCGAGGCTGCCCGCAGCCTCTGCAGCGCCGGTTCGATCCCCGGCCACGGGTGAGGGTCCCCCCCACCGAAAAAAAAAAGAAAGAAAAAAAAACAAAAGAAAAAAAAAAAGAAAGAAGTCTGGTCCAAAGAATGACCAAACTTTATAAAAACAATAGCAATAATGCCCCCCTGCCCCCACCAAGTATTCTGCTTTCCCGCTCTCAAAATGGAATCTCTCTCTTTATAGTTGTCTTGATTGACACTGGACTGCACATTCATGGACAGCAAGGCCACATTTTATTCATCCCTTCTCAAGAATTAATCTGACACAATAAAGGCACATAACAAATATTTTGTGCTAAAATGGAATAACCATTAATTGGCTACTGAAAAAAAGTTTCAACATTGATCAAATTTTGGGGGGAATATGGAAAGAATGACTGACAAGCTCTGAAAAAGCCAAGAAACAGGTAACAACAGGTCTGGATATCCAGGAATGACTAGGATTATGTCACATGGAGAAGGAGAAAGATACTCCAGGTAGAGGAAAGAATGGGGGCAGAGGCATAAGTCTCAAGTTAACACAGTCAAAAAACAAGGAGATCAACACAGCTACGTGATGTAAAGGGTAAAGTAGTGGGAAAGAGAAGGAGATTTAGAAAATAAAGGAACATTGAGATGTACCTTGTATGGCTGCATGGTTCAGAGTTTATCTGAATTTGCAGTGTTGTATAGACTGGAAATGGTTATGGTCAAAAAAGTATAAAATAACCCAATAGAGTACTCTAGCCCTAGTACAGAGGAACAACTAGGAAGTGTTGCAGCATAATGCTTAGCAGATCTTGGGAAAGAGGCAAGAGTTGATTGAACCAAGAGTGTGATCTAGAAGGGATGGGAGGAAGAGAGGTTTTTCTGAATTTACCTTGACATTCTTTTTTGTTAGACAGAGAAAAAAGAATAAAAGAATTCCCCTTTCTCATTTGGGGGACTTTAGAAAAGTTAGGACTCTTACCAGAGACAGGAAATAATACAGTAGGAGAAGCAAGCTTGGAATACAAAGATAAACCTTATCTATCCTGTGGTGACTATATTGATGTTTGTGGATGGACAAAGTATAGCCTCAAATATGTATTTAATAGAGTAAATTTATGTGAGAGTACTGTAAAAGCTTGAAAACAGAATGCAAACAGCACTAACGTGTTTAACAAAATCAAGGTATAACACACCTATACAATCAATGTATTTTGAAACCAGACTAAGAGGTAAAATGGGCACATACTCAGGGAGCCACAGGGGGCATTGTAAACTTTCTCCTTCCATAATCATGTGTCCACTACCTGAGGTCAGAAGTCCAGTTAATTCCTTACTGATAAGTATCTCTAGGAAGGTGAATGCCCATGAGCAATAACCTAAAAAAGAGGAAATGTTTCTCCTAGCTTCAAGATTTCTCTTGGGCCACTCCAGGCTGAGCAGGTCTACCAATTCAGCCTCTTCTATCAGTCATGAACTACCCTTATTCCCCAATTGCTGAGCTCTTCCACAGAAAATAGTGTCATAGAGAAACAATTCCAGACTTATTCTCACATCTCAGGATGTGTCTGTGTTCAGAAGCGCAATTCCTAGCAGTGATAATCTTAAAATTGCTGGTTGTGGTGAAAGCTAGCTATGTCCTTGAAGAAGACACAGAATCCCTGGAATTTTGGACCTGAATATATAAACCTTAGAAGTAGTTTTGTCGGGGGGGGGGGGGGGGGGGGGGGGGGGGGAAAGGATGTCCTAAAGCTAATTCCATACAGGCTTTGTGGACTCCACCCCCACCCCAGGCCAAAGCCAAAGACACTGGGAACTCCACATCCCATCACCACCAAAGGGAAGGTGGCTGGGACCTGAGGGTTGGTATAAAGCCAGACATGTGGGCTTTGGAGGGGTCCCCCATTTTGACTCTCCGCCAGCTCGCAGCATCCGGCCAGCTCGGAGAGTGCTTTTTGGGTTTCCAGGTCGGCGGATTGGGTAGGACGCATTAAGCATGGGTGAGGACCCACAGCCAGGCAACCTGTTCAATATCGGGGCTGCCCTATAACAGCTTGATATTTTTGGGCTCTTACCTAGATGTCAATCAATGTTTGATTATTTCTAATTTTATATAGGTACACTAATTCTTTGCTTAAATTGCTAAAACCAAAGCTAGGAGTTGTTTTGAAGTGGTTAAAAATACATTGATCAAATCAAAAAAGATCAGAAACTAGGACTAACACTTTTTCATGCAATACAACAGAAATAGGTGATTGGCTTTTTCTAGACTGCTATAAAAAATCTGATTGGATAATTGAAAAAGTTCTATCTTTATTATTATTTTAAAAAGCATTTATGATCATGTTTCTCCTCTACTGAAAATACTTGGTATATTTTGGTCTAAGTTTTGAGAATTAACCGATTACAGCTGAACCATGTTTCAATCCTAAACACTAGTTGAGTCTATTTCAAAAACAGTGGTAGCTATAAGGAAGCAGATGTTGTTCTTCCTTAATGAAAGAAAAGGCAAGGAAAATATACATACTAGGTCTAAAGTTCTACCACAATTTGATTGTAAAAAGAAAAAACAGAATTCATTAATTTTCAAGCATTTGCTTCAAAAGCTGTAAAGGAGTTTTACAAAATCCCACTTATTTTATGATATAGAAGAGAGATCATGTTATTAGTGGGGCCTAGACTCTTAAAAAGGAAAGCTAAATGATTTGAACTCTAAGAGTTTCATTCGTCATTACGTGTGATGACTGCACAGGGGGCTGGGAAATGAGGAAGGTACAGGACTGGCTACCTGCTCCTAGGTAGCCAAACATGGAAATCACTTTCTCCCTGTCTCCTTTGGACTCATGATTGAGTCACCATTCCAGATGATTGCTGACTGCAGTTCTTAACATCAGAACAAATTTTATGCCTAACTAGAACAGGAATGATTACAGTGATGGGGGTCTGGAGCAAAATTAGACCAAAACCAAGCAGAGGCAGTATAGGTCTTGGGAGAACTTTCTTCTCAAAAATTCCTGAGTCACTGGGAGCTTCTGAAAAGGTTACTTCTCATGTTAATTGCCCTGAGGGAATACCTGGGCTGGGGGTGTGGGCACTCAGCTGGTGCACAGGTAAAGGTCAGAGGTCAGGCTATTCACATAGGAGTTGCCTGGGCAGCTTTTGTTTTGCCAAGGGTCAGCAGAGAACTCAAAAGTTGGGGTACTTCAAATGTAAAAAGTCAGAGTATTCACACTAAAAATGGGAGGGAGGAAGGGATTTCTCCAAGTTCCCAAGCTAGTAATGAAAATTTCTGCAGAAAAAACCTAATGACTGAATACTTCTGGCTCCAGTACCTACAGAATAAAGTAGAAATAGAAATACTTAGCTTTGTAGGCTAAAGTATTTTTTTTATTGGAGACTGTTCCTGTGTTCATAGTTAAATAGGCCCCTAAGGGAATACATATCCAACACTAAATTATGTTTAAAAGAAGGCTTTAAAAGCAATAACCTGAACAAAAATTACAATTCTTTTTCAGTCTATTATTCCCCCACTCATTACCAAGTATTTCCTTGTTTTTTTCCTTCCTCTTTATCATTACAGCATTTGTGCTTTTTTTTTGTTTCAGTTATGCTAAAAAGTCCTTTGCCCTCTGAGAGAAATAACAAGTTACTATTTTAAGAGTTTTGACCTTTAGATTAAGGAGGAAATGAAAATGTCTAATGTCAAATTGGGAAGAAAACCTTTTTCTGCTCCATTTGACTACAGTTGTTAAGTGTTGGGCAATACATGTAATCTATTATTGCCTTATTCATCTGGAACTTCCTTGGAAAAAATGGTTCTCAAAATATCCGGGCAAATTAATAGTAATTAAAACTATAGCTATTATCACAAAGCATTTTGGATATATTTCCTTTGGAAGCACAGAATTAAACACATGTATTTGAATGTTCTTGGTTTATATTCCAAAAGTGTCCTCTCATTTTTTTCTATTACACAAAAAGTCATCTCCAAATGACTTTACAGTCTCACCAAAAATGTTAACTTGCAACCACAAAGCTACATTTTGAAAATGTTTATTTACTTTTGAACTGATAAGTCTGTGGAGAAACTATACAACACCCAGAGAATATGAGGGGGTGGGAATTTTATTTTTCTTTCAATGTGTGGGATCCTATTTATTTCTTAAGATAAACCCTGAATATTTGCTGTGATTTTACAGTGACATAACTGCAGCATGACTGTTTCCACTAGTCAGCTTAAGTTCCATGCTGATCAAAGTTGATGCTCATGTTTAATACTACAAAATATTCTCTTTTGACTGTAACTGAAAGCATAATCATCTCGGAAGGCTGTCAACCATGGGCTGGATCTGCATAGATGACATGAAGTACATTGCCCTAGCATATCCCAGGAAAAAACAAAGTATCCTTAACCTCATCTAGTAAATAGAGACCTAAATTTTACCAAGCAGACCAGGCATCCGGTCAAAAATGACACAGGTAAGAAAAAACACTAATGCTTGTCTTCAACCTCAACCCGAAAGGATTTTTTTCCAATGACACAAAAAAGTCCTTTTCCCCAGTCTTCCTTAAAAACAAACTTGTAATATGAGAAGAAGGCTAATAGTTAAAAGAACTTTCTCCGCGTGGATTGCAGAGTTAACGCACTGAAAAGAGAAAAGCACGCAAAGGTGCTCTCCTTACCGGAGGTGAAAACCGTGCACCAGCTTCGTTACTAAGGTAACCATCTTTCCCAGGGCAAGAGCAGGGAATGCCAGGGTGACAAGAAGTGAAGAAGACGCGACAACTCGAGCTCCTGCAAGAATCTTCCCAGACCACTTCCTTCCGCGACACACCTCCTTTCGGGCTCATAACAGAAGTGCCTCCTCTCACCCTTCACGGTTAACCACAAGAGCCTGTCGTTTCTGCTCAATCACCCAGCAGCTGCTGGAAGGACCGCGCTGGAGCCTGGGCACGAGGTGATGAGCAGAGTGGCTTGGGCTGGCGGACTCCCCAGGAGCAGCTGCAGTTGAGGATCCTAAAACCCTGCCTATTGGGCAGAGAAGATCAGCTCTCCAGGAAGGAGGATCAGGTGCAGCTCTACCCCTGAGCCTAGTGCAGCTGGTGCGGTGCAAGCCAACGCCTGCTTTGAGCTCGGAAAGCGACCCCAGCTACTGAGCATGCTCAGCTGCCCAGCGGTCCTCACAAGGGCCTTTCAGCCCGGACTTGTCTTCCTGATTTGAGAAAGGGAGAGTGGAGATTAGTGGTGGCTATCCTTGAGCAGGGTAATGACCTTCCCAGCCCCCTACCAAAAAAAGAAAAAAAAAAAAAAGAGAGAAAGGACACGAAGCACCACATTTAGCAAATATTTTTGATTCACAGCTTGATAGAGATGTTTGAAGCTATCAGTAGTGTTTAGTCTAACTCTCTCCCAGCACAATTAAGTTGCCTCTGGGGTCAAGTATGTGGTGTAGACTGTGAAAAGGGTTTTTAATCTTAACCTATTACTGTCACTCAAGGATTAGGTATGGAATTGACTATACTTGAAGGTCTGGGCAATAAGTCAGGAATTAACTGACCTCTTTATAAGAGAAATCTGCCTATAGACAAAGACTTTCTTAAGTAAAACAACAAGTAATTTATAAAGTAATTTGCAATTTTTGAAATTTAAATGTTAACAACCTATGTGACAATAACCTGAATTTTGAAATTTAAATCTTTCAGATGGCAAGCTCAGTGAAAGCAGGGAATGTTGTTTATTCATGACTGTAAACCCAAATCATTTCTCAGGGCTTGGTAAATGGCAAGTGCTTCATAAATGTTTGTGTAAGAATGAATTGTGGGTCTGTTAGACAATCTGGAAGTGGTACTTACAGGAAGGCTGATGCTCTTGAATTTGATATGGACCTAAATTCTGACTCTTGGGCTTTTTAGCCTTGCATATTGGGCTGGCCAAGTATTTGAAAATAGGAATACTCTGTGAAATTTTGTCTACAATTGTCCGATACATAAGCAAACTGACTTTAAAATAGGATTTGCAGTTGATGTTTATGTGACCCCCTTCCTTCTTTTTCCTCCCCTCTAAGTTACTCTTTGCCAAGATGAACCAAATTCAGAGCAGGTTCCTTCTGCGGCAATTGAAATCAGGGACATTGACTCTCCATGGTTTGCAGATAAGAAAATTATTTCATTTTCAAAAACTTCGAGCCAGTCATTTCTGCCATGTCTGCGGAGAGTGAATCCAAGAGACTTTCAAGCTGAAAGTGGAGCGATAGCCTGAAAGCTGCACCTTTGAGAGTCTGTACAGAAAACATGGGTGAGCCGAGAGTCTGGTGTTTCTTGAATCCTTCCTGGTTGCCTCCAAGGGCTATTGATTCAATCCCTTGGCCAACAAGGTCTCTCTCTTTCTCATTTTCCTTCTCCTCCTCTTCTTTATCTCTCCTCTGACTACCTTTCATGTTCCTTTTGAGAATCAGATGCTCCTTGTAGGGTAAGGTAAAAAGTATCAGGCTTTTCTGCCCTCCCACTGTTAGGATAGATGACAGAACCCTGTGGTCCTGAATGCATGCCTGATGACGGGCACCTAAGTGGGTACACCTGGGCTAAGAGACTGAGTTTATAAGGGCGGCATCACAGGAATGCCAGGAGAAGCCGAGAGAGAAGCAGAACCACGAGAGAAGCAGAGACCACCAGAGACGGCCGGAGAGCCCAAATAGAGTGAAGACTTGCTGGAGGCTGGGAGGCCTGCCAGCCGCCAGGCCCCCCAGGCCCCCGACACCCCATGCCTGCTGTGTACCGGGTAAATCCCAATAAAAGCCTGCAAAATCCACTGAGGGCTCCAGGACTCTCTCCCGACCCAGTCTGCTGGATCAGAGAAACTGCCCTGTGTCGTTCCTGCCCCTATACTCCTATTGGTGGTATAGCAGTTACCGTCACAGCCTTCCAAGACTCAGCTGCTACTGCAGTGTCACTAAAGACCAGAAACATTCCCCTGTCCCTTTCCACTGAGTACTTTTGTCACTACATTTTCTGTGTTGACTTTAAGCTAAATCACGCCCCACCTACCAGCCATGAATTCCTTAAAGGTAGAGACAATGCTAGCAGCTGTACAGTTGTGTAAACTCACAATGCTGGTTTTCACTTGCTCTCACATTAGAATGAACCCCAGTAGGAAGTCTAACTGTGGTGACCAATTAGAACATTGGTGGAGTTCGTTTAGGAACATTTCCTAGAAGAAGTCATTTCAGAAAGAAAATAATTTTTTCAATAAATATCAATCAAAGATTTCAGGTAGAAAAGGAGATGTGGACTTTATTCGTACAGGCCTATTTGTAGATAACTAGAGTGGAACTACTTAATGGTCTTCAATTCTTTGCTTCTATCCTGAAAAGAACTAAAAACAGAAGTAGAAACACATCTGCCACTGTCATTGGCACTTTAGAGCTGTTCATTATATTTTATAGCAGAGATTCTTCACCATCTCTCTCATTTCTCTCTTCACCCCCTACATTTATTTTCCTGTTCACTATATTGCAATGAATCTGGTTCTCAGAGATTACCCAGGTTGTCTTAATTATCAAAGCCAAGATTTTCTCAGTTTTGATGACAAAGTCATAGCTATCATTTCCTTGGCACTTTCTTCTCAGCTAGGGAATTTCAAATGTCTACCTTATTTCTTGATTTCTTAGGCTTTGAGCCAATAAAATCTGTTTTAAAATCACATTATATTGGGTTTTCTACTTGCAGTCAAAAATCTGTCTGAAATAAACTTTTTCTCTTTCCTATTGAAAATGCTAGAATAGTTAAGGACACATTTCATAGCACAGCACTGGAGAACCTTTTCCTGTCCTCCTTGTGATTTTACCTTTGTCTCCATTATAATCCACTGTGCCTTTTACATTCTGGCCATGCTGAACTGCTTGGTGCTAACCATGTGATTTGCTACCCCATATCTCAGATTGCCTTTGTCCTGCATTTCCTCCTGCTGAAACCCAATTCTTCCTTCTAGGTACAAATTAAAAGATTCTTTCTTTGAAACAGATTTTTAGAATTAATATTTCCACTTTCTATATTTTCATAATACTGCCTGTACCTCTGTGTAAGTCTGGGCTCTCAAAAAATAGTCAAGATGGGACTAAGTATGTAACAACTTTATTGGAGGAAATATCTGTGAAAGAAAACGGAGAGGGACTAGGGAGTCTGGATGAACCATCAGATTGTAGTCAAGTCTGATGTAGAATAAAAGGGAGAGAAAGCTGGATGCAGTGAGATCTAAGGAAAGTTCTGTGAGCTCATGGTGAATCCTCAAGCCAAAGTCTTCCATCAGATGAGTCTGGCCTCTTCTAGAAACAACTACTCTAGAAGCTGCTACTTGCAGTGGTTGGTGACAAGAAGTTCCCAGGAAATATGATTTCAGCATAAAAGCTTTGATAACTGCAATGTCTGAGTTCTGCAGATGCGCCCTTGGTCACTTAAAGGGCCTGCAGCTGGAGGGTTAGGAGGCACTTTTTTCTTGTCTCTCACATTCTTTACTCATCACTGATTTATTTGGTCTTGTCTTAAGTGCTGTTTGTCATAAACATGAATCTGTTCCTGGCTGAATTATGTACTTTTAAGATAAGTTTTATTTATTTATGCATACAATAGCTGGGGTGTAGGCCAGAAGTGCTGGGGGTGGGGGAGGTGTGAGAGGATTCACCAGAGACAGAGTGAGGAGCAGAACAGGCAGATTGACTGAAATACACTGCTGAGGGGAGAAGCCAGCGAGATAGGAGAGGTCTGCTGTACCATGTGCATTAGCTTCTGGCCAGCAGGGGATTAAACTCATGCTGCAGTGGCTGCTGATAATTTCATAGTGCAGCTATTAACCCCTTGCGCCACCAGGGAGGTCCCCTTCTTAAGGGCAGGTGCTGGGTTCATATTTGTGTTACACTTGTGTTTTATGTAGCAGGATCCAAATAGGTATTGATGTGGTACTAAACTTAATAATGTGTTGCTTCAAACTCTTCTTTAGTAACTCCTTAAAATATTAATAGGTATTCTTGGACCTCCCTGGTTGCGCAGCGGTTGAGCGCCTGGGTTGCAGCCTCTGCAGCGCCGGTTCGATCCTTGGCCACCAGAGGAGGGTCCCACATGGCGCGCAGACCTCTCCTGCAGCCCACTGCTCCCCTCAGCAGTGTACTTCAGTCCTTCTGCCTGTTCTGCTCCCCGCTCTGGCTCTGGTGAATTCTCTCACCCTCCCGCGCTTCTGACTGTACCCAGTGCTTGTATAAATAAATAAATAAACCTTTTAAAAAAATTAATGGGTATTCTATAGCTTTGCCCTATAGTTTGAAGTTTAAGCATGTAATTCTGTTCTTGTCAAGATTGCTTTGACTATTTGGGGTCTTTTGTTGTTCCATATATATTTCAGTAATATTTGCTCAATTTCTTTGAAGAATGGCACTAAAACTTTGCATTGAATTTCTAAATTGTTTTGGGTAGGATGGCCATTTTAAAAAATGCTTGTTCTTCTGATCCATGAGTAGGGAATATCTTTCCATTTCTTTGTATCTTCTTCTATTTATTTTAACAATATCTTATATGGTTTTTATTGTACAGGTCTTTCACCTCCTTTGTTTATTCCTAGGTATTTCATTCTCTCTGATGCAATTGTTTTCTTGATTTCTTTCTTTTCTAGTTCATTGTTTCTATATAGGAACACAGAGATTTTTAATATAATGATTTTGTAGCTTGCAACTTCATCAGGACCCCATGGGCAGTGTACTTCCATCTAAACTCAGCCCACTGGCACAGCTGCAGGAGGCTTCCAGCTTGTGAGTCCCACTGTAGTTTTTTAGTAGAATCCTTAAGGTTTTCTAGTTTTATTACCATGCCATCTGCAAACAGTGATAGTTCAACTTCTTTCCCAATTTGGATTTTTTTTTTCAATTTATTTATTTATTTATACAAGCACTGGGTACAGTCAGAAGCACGGGAGGGTGAGAGAATTCCCCAGAGCAGGGAGCAGAACAGGCAGAAGGACCGAAGTACACTGCTGAGGGGAGCAGCTGGTGGCAGGAGAGGTCTG